ACATATTGTTTTTGTGATGAATCACTGTGCTTTCCTTATGTTCAATTTGTAGCAATGAAAATACATCCTGCATATCAGATCTTTACATGATGATTCATCACCGTAGCAAAATGACAGTGATGAAGTAGCAATGAAAATAATTTTATGGTTTGGGGGGTCATCATAACATGAGGAACTGTATGAAAGGGTCGTGGCATGAAGAAGGTGGAGAACCACTGCTCTATACCAAGTAGCGAGATTGCAAGATCATAAGGTATTTGCATTTGTTAAGGAAGTGCTATCCTGATTTCCATACCATTCTATCATCCCACCAGCAATGTGTGAGTGCTCCCATCTCTCTCTACGTCCTCCCTTGCCTTTTAATATTTTTTTGCTTTTTTATTTTTTTAAAATTTTGCTAAGCGTGCTGGTGTGAGGTGGCTTTTCATCACTGCTTTAATTTGTACTTCCTGTACGGCTCATGAACCCAAATGTGGCTTTGTATGATTGCTGGCCACCTGGATGTCATCTTTAATCATTTTAATAATTGTCTTTCATAATTGTCTATCTGTGTCCTGTGCCCATGTTGCGGTTGGATTATGTGCATTCTTCTCAAGGTGTCGTAGTTGCTGTAGATTTTTGAAATTAGCCTGTTATCTGGGTGGTGCTGTTGATGTCGCACAGCTTCACGAGGTCGTTTTGAAAGAGTTTCGACCCATCTGACCCAATGGGAAGCAGTAGGAATCGCTGAAGAAACGATCCGTTTTCCTGCATCTCACGTTCAGATTAGCCCTGTCTCTGAGGGGCATGCGCAGAGGCACCCACAGACCTACAGACATCCCATAGACTGTTTCAAGGTGGAGCAGACTGTTTTAGCCTGGGAAGAAAGAGGCAGGGTGGCCCTCCCAGAAAATGGATAAACCTTCATCTGGAAGGTCTGAACCAATAAATCAAGATGTTTTTGACAGAGGGAAATCATAAAGATTGAAATAAATGCTAGAACAACAGCCAGGAAGCAAATAATAAGCAAACTCAGACGAGAGGAGCTGGGCACAGAAAGGGATATGAAACAGAGAAACAGTGTCATTACGGAGGACTGCAGGGACCCCCAACAATGGTTGGCAGAGAAATCAATCACCTGCAAGTGTGTCCAGTACCCAGCAATGGTGGAAGATTCTTGTAGGCAGTGAAGGTTGGGCATGGGCTTTGGGCCAGCCAGTCCACTGACCGACCCCCCTAGCTCATGGGGGCTGCATAAATCCCTTCTCCTCTGTCACCTGTCATCTGCCTCATGGCATTGCTCATAAAACAACAAAATACGCATACAAAAACATACTCGCTGCCATCGGTCGAGTCTGACTCATAGCAACCCTATAGGCCAGGGTAGTATTGCCCGTCTGGGCTGACAAGATGGTAGCTCTGCACGGGTGTAGAAAGCCTCGTCTTTTCTGGCTGTGCAAGGAGGATTCAATGCACGAAGGCCAGATAGGCACATGGTACATGTTCATGGGCAACTATTTCCAGTGTCGCCCATCCTCCCTTGCCATCGTGTAGCATCTGACTCACCTGTCACTCTCTTGGGACCCCTGTCCCCACTCTCCTCTCTCTGGGAAGTGAGAATTTCCTGTAGGCAGACTCTGGCCAGCGCCTGAGTGTTGTCCTTTTGTCGCTAGCTCAATAGGGAGTGGTGGGAAGTCTGTGCTGATGGGTTAGAGGCAGTGAGTGAGGTCTGAGGACAAGCAGGTTGTTATTGGCCGAAGCAACTGACACTCTGAATTCTGCAAAGCGACCATCAGGAGGCGCCCTCAGGGCCCCTTCTTCTTGCCATGTCTTCAACTCAAAGCCAAGCTCACTGCCATCGCAGCGACTCTATAGGTCAGACTAGAACCACCCCACAGCTTTCTGAGACTAACTCTTGACAGAGTAGAAAGCTTAGCTTTCGCCCTGGGAGCAGCTGGTGGTTTGCAACTGTTGACCCTTCATTCATGACAAACAAAAACCAAACATGTTGCAGGAAGTGGAAGAGACAAGAATGAAAGACCAAGCCACAAGAATTATAGGTTTCCCCGAGAGCCACTCTCTCTGCAAAATGTCAACCTCCTTCACCAGCGTTTAGCAAGATGAATCATTAAAACCTTGGGAACACTGACATCGCGCTGCCCATAATGGAAGGCAGCGAGGCAGGTGCTGTTTGATTGGCGTGCTGGTCACATTTGCTTGTGGCTGGCAAAAGTGCCAGCCAACTCCTGGGGCAAGCAGAGCTGGAGGGGACCGGGTGGAGACTGATGGCCCTAAGGACCAGGGAAGGCAGGCTGGAGAAGAAATCCATCACTGTGCATTGAGAAAATCCGCTACAGAGGCAGCCCAGAGCAGGCTGCAGCGCGCAGCCCTGAGCTGACAGCTCTCTCCCCAGCACCCTTCTTCCAGTGGGGTGTTGGGCTGAGGCGATTCGGTCCTGCTGTTTTCATGGACTGCAAGAATTGGGTTATACACGCAAGCGCACTGCTCTGGAGCTCTGACTCAAGGCAACCCTATAGCACACGTCAGAACTGCCCCTTTGGGTTTCTGAGACTGTAACTCTTTGACGGGAGTAGAAAGCCCTGTCTTTCTCCTGAGGAGTGCCTGGTGGTTTCAAACCGCAGACCTGGCGATCGCAGCCCAACTGGTACCCACTACACCCCCCAGGGTTCCTGAATTAAAGCCTTGCAGCTGAGTTTTTCTTCCCTTTGGTTTTCGTAGGTGCTGGTTGGTTTGCTTGTTTGTTTATTTTATAAATAGCATTGACTTATCAGAGAGGCTGAGAAAAAAAACAAACAAAATGGTTATTCAAGTCGTGATGCAAGTACAGGCAACACCAATCGTGCCATTTGAGCAAAGAATGGCTTCCAGTCTTTAGACAGTTGTCCATGGCTGCCCTTGAGACTCAGCACACGCAGCTGTGGGGATAGCTATGTGATGCTATGCACTCCCCTCGCCCTCCCAGGCTGAAGGATTAGTCTGAGAGATAGAGTGCTTCTGACCTCTTGCTCAAGGGGGCTAAACATTGCCCACACTGGGACTGCAGCTCTCTGCTCCTGGG